GACCTGATCAGCTCTCTTTTTCTGTGATTTTACAGAAAAACAGGCAATCACAGTAAAAATGCCAGGGCTCATTCTACAGGACCAGGGCATTGCAGGAGAATGTATGAAGAAGACATTTATTATTTCTATACATGTTTTGGCTGTCAAACTTCCATAATGCCCCTTTAAGCTTGAAGTATGGGAACAGAATTATAACAAAGTAGAAAATGACATGATTTCATTGACTGAACACGAGCGTTTCATGGCTTTAAACCAGAAAAATTCCATGTCTTTAAGTGTGTTTTTGTTTTATTGTGTGCCACTAATTTGTGAGATAGCTTTTGCTGAACATTTTGCGCAGTGGTACTTCCATCTTAAATGAAATGCATTACGGACAGAATATAAAGATATTCAGGAACAATGGAAGGTCTCAGCACTGTTGGGTTAAATCTGTAATACATAAATGAAGGGGTGATAATGAGTTAGTGTAAAACCGAACATCATAGTGCTTTATTATCAGGTTTAGATATCTTTGCCGCGCTCTAAAAAAGCAACGGAGTCGTGGCCTAGTTCGTTAATTAGAGCATTAATCTCGACCAATGGCCTCGGTCCGTTTCTGTCTTGGGTTGGTCAGGTTTGTTTTTAGAGCGGAGAGGGAGTTCATAGGCAGGTTGAGTTATAGATTTTGTTGAATTGTTTCTGCAAGAGCTGATTTTCAAGGGCAAGAAAATGTATGATCAAGATTTAGCTCCCTTATAAAATAACTGCAATTATTTTTCTGCTCTCAGAGGAACAGCACGGCTTGAGAAGGAACACATTGTAAAGGGTGTTAAACGGGCTTTGTTACATAGATTCATCTGAGTGTGTGTGATGGAATTTTCTGATTGAATCAGATGCTGCTCTTAGCCTTTAGTTCTGTAGGTTTTCCTTACCAGTAGTTAGATTTTCTGTCATCTTTGAAGGTTGGTTTGATCCACAGTTCTACAGACTTTCAGAAGGTTTTTCATCAGGTAACTCCAATTCTCACCTATTTTAATGTGGATCATGACTAAAAACTGAATGTCAATGGGGAGCGAGGGTGTCTGGGCTTCCTTCTGGGACTTGTTACCTTCATGACCTGACCTTGGACAGGCAGATGGATTAATGAATGGTGAAGTTATAAACTATCTCTAAAGGAGGAAACTGCCCACAGGGATGTAGACAGACACCTGGTACTGTTTCAGAGGAGTGGGTGTGGTGGTGGTTGGTTTGTTCTGGAGGTCAGTGAATAAAGCTCGGCTGGCAGCCCTCAGAAAAACAGTGAAAAATGAGGTGCTGTCAATGAAATTATGAACAGAATCACAATTCAGAAGCACATTAAGAAACTAAACGATTCGGTCTCCCAACTCCTTCCAAAGTTTTAACATATCTGTATCAGTCTGATCAGTAAAACTGGAGCAATGTGAACAACTAATGTTTACTTCCATCTTGTTGTCATTTGTGTATGAGTCTCTTGGGGGGTGGGTGGGGGGGGGGGGTGGGGGGGGGGGCATGTGGTATTTGTTTCTGGTGGTGATACAGCGTGATATTGTGGGGGTGTTTAAATATCTGTTATCGACCATAACGTTAGGCTATGCATATAACCACTGTTGCCTGAAGGAGAGGAATGAGGTGCAACCTCATGGTACTATGGGACATCACGCCCTCGTGTGGCCTGGCTGAAGACACATTTAATCACCCCTGTAAAGCCAAATGACCGTGACGCTGGGTGGTGGCCCCGCCATCCACCTACTAGCCCCCAGCGTCACCGGCATTTTTCAGTTCGATAGCCGCTCTTCACCGAGCTAGGCTGCAAAGGGGGCAGCCCTGCGTTGTACCTCGTTCCTCTCCTTCAGGGAACAGTGGTTATATGCATAACCTAACATTCCCTTTAAGTCGATTCACTCTGAACAACGATGATACAATGGGACATATAAAAATGCCCTATAAGCAGCTATCAAACCTGGGCCGACAACACCATCTAAGATGGCAACTCAGACTTAGCAGAAAAAACTTCATGAGCCACCGAAGGTGCCATGAAATCCAGACGGTATAGTCCCACAAAAGTGTGGGGTGCAGCCTAGCTAGCAACTGAGCAAATGTCATTAAATGAAGCACCCTAAAAACAACGCCCTTGAAGTAGTCAAACCTCTAGT